TCAGGAGCTGCAGCTGGTGCAGAATGCAGCAGCCAGATAAATAACTGGGACTCACAAGTCTAAACATATAAGACCAGCTCTGGCCCGCCTGCATTGGCTGCCTGTATGCTTCTGGTTCCAATTCAAAATGCTTGTTTGACCTATAAAGTCCTACATGGCTTGAGATTGCAATACCTGTCAGAGCACCTTTCCCAACCCTGATCTGCCCAGCCTTCCTCCAGGTGCCAACCTTCCAAGAGGCTTGGAGGTGGCAGCTAGGGGGAGGGCCATTTCAGAGGTGCCACCCTCCATCTTTGGAACAAGCTCCCTGCTACATCCTACCTGGCAGCCAATTTGCCATCTTTTTGATGCCAAGTTAAGGCAGCCCTCTTTGCAGAGGCCTTTAAACACTTCCCTGGTGATTCAGGGGTCTGACATGATTAGCTAGGTGCCTTTCTTTTATTCTTGGTCTGGTCTTTTTTAAATTGTCTTTAATTTAAAATAACATAAAGAACATTAAATTTCCAGTTCTTGTTAGTGTTTTTATCTATTGTATTTTATTGTTTTTATACTTTGTTACAAACTGCCCAGAGAGCTTCGGCTATGGGTGGTAAATAAGTATTGCCATTTTAGAAGCCTTTAACACTGTTCTTGAAAAATGCAGTTCCGATTAAATTCCATGGCTATATTGCTGACTTAGTGCAGGATAGGATGCAGAGTGATGCACAATGGATTGATGGGGAACTTCTAAGTTTACACTGACAGCCATTTTCAAATCTTGCCCAGGGCAAACAGGGAATGGTCCATAGAAATCCATGCAGGAATCTATTTTAGTGTAATTGCTATTGGGCAGTATGTCCTAAGCCACTCTCCCCTTGCAAAGATATAAGTCAACTAAATGCTTTTTTTAACATAAATAAATAAATATAGTTTCTGTTATATTCCTGTTTCAGCCCAGTGACTTTTATACTAACATAGCGTATTTTTACTATTAGAATGAAGCAGTGGAGTTTCCAAGTGCTACCAGAAATCAGCTCTAGTTTGCCCACCTCATTAGCTTTTAAAGTCATATATCAACGTTTATAAATATTCAAAGATTGATTTGGGAAATATATAAAAGCACTTTAGTTCTTTATAACCCCTAATAGTAAACTGGGGTGATGGTAATAGGATTGTGGTCAAAATAGAGCCAATGAGAAACAAGTTTGTAAACAGTACCAAAACCAAAGAACTAAAAGGGGCATAAGCCCTCAATCATCACGCATCATGGCAACCCGCAGGGGAAACCATGCAGGCATGGCCTGTCGGTATAAGTGAACCCAGCACCCATGGTGAACTGTGGCACATTTGGTTTCCTTGAAAAAACATGGAGAAACAATGATTTGCTGTAAGGTTTCTATGCTTCACCAAGGCTTGTTATGTGTGTTGCCATGCTTTTGTGTGGTTTCTGTGTCTTTGCCATGGAGTTTGGTGGCACTCTAGCCTACACTTTTCATTGTCCTGTTCTCCCAAGCAGCTGCTGAGTTGCAGGCAGAAGTGTAGCGATTCGCTGTCTTGACGCTCCCTTTCTTCCCTGCCAGCACGCAGCTTCCCAGTGCCCAACCACAGTGACGGGATCTTGCCAGCACACTGCGCCAGCAGCAGTGACCATGGAGACAGTGGCGCTTGGTGCTCCGGCCTGGTCACTGCCCTGTGGTGGAGCAGTGGCACTGTGTTGTGCCATCCTGGGGGCCAGCAGTTTCCTCATGGGGAGGCTACCCTGCATCAAGGATCCCATGGGCAGTACGTGTGATTTGTCCACAGGGTGAGCACCCCAAGGAGCCCATGTCTTCTGCTCTCATTTTGTGCCTGGAAAATGCTTGGGACTCCCCACACTCCCCTGCTGTTCCCGTGCCCCACAGCTGCAGGACTAAAACTGTCTTGACATCCTGTTGTCAAATTTCCCAGGCAAAGGCCCACATGGGCACTCTCACAAAAGTCTGCCCAGCAGGAAACATTTCTCTGGCCCTGGCCTGGGTGCCTGTGATGATGCCCCCTGTGCACCTGGCTATGGGGTGGGGGCAGCCCCTGGCAGCATGAGTGAATCCTGCACACTGGGGAGAATGCACAGATATGCAGTGTGGGGCAGAGGGGGTGTGTGCGCATGTGCATTGACACAATGTGTGTCAGCAGCAGAGAGTACTCCTGTAGTGAGTAGGGAAGCAGTTGGCTGAGGCCTTGCCCTGGGGAGTATGTGGCCCAGTAAGGGAGACGCAGGCAAGGCTGGCAGGAATGGTACATCCTGAGATTGATTTTCAGTCACAGAAGCTGATGGGGTGCATGTCACCATTTGAAGGAAAGTGTCAGGGTCTGGGATATGGGCAACAGAAAACTAGGCAGATGCACTGCAGTGAGGTCCAAGGCAGTACAAGTCCAGAGTCCAAGAGCAAATCCAAGCTGTAGTCACAAAGAGGCCAAGGTCAGAACCAGGAAAACATCATGTAGGAAGACAGGGTGCAGTTCAACAGGCAAGAGCACACAACAAGGAGCATGTGCCTTAAAATAGGGTAAGAGAGTAGGCTTCAGGAACAGCAAGGCATGGTAGGCAATGCAAGGAAGCAAGGTGAGGAACAAGTGTCCAGCAGGCAGCCGTCCAGCAAAATGCACAGGAACAGGCTACAGCACACTGGAGATTGGAATTGCTAAGGCACCTTCTGGAGGGAAGAGCCTGCTCTTAAATTACTCTTCCCCTCAGGGCTCCCAGGTAGTGCTTGTCAAGGTACTGGATTCTGCTGCAGGAGTGTCTGGAACTGTTCCTGCAACTACCAGGGTCGTCATTCTGGTGCTTTGTCCAGCAGATGGTGCCCTGGAGCTGTCTGGACCCTGACAAGATGGAGATACGTGGAAACCATGCATGCGAACACACACACCTGGGACACAAGATTGGATTCCATGTCACAAGGTTAAGCACAGCATAGCTTTATGTGTGGATGCACCCAATGTGTGGGTTCAGCAGGTGCAAGTTATTAAGCATCAATTGGAAAAGAAAAAGGGAAAGTTAGGGGCCGGAAGGGCAAGAAAATTGAATACCCTGCTTAGAACTTACTATATCCTGGAAGTGAGTATGGGTAGTTGGTTGAAACCCTGGAGAGAAACACATTTGCTAGGAGGAGAGAGTACACTGCAAGTTTTGTTGCAAGTTCACTTGGAACAAAAGTGAACATTTGGACTTTTCAAAATTCCCATGTTAAAATAACTGAGGGAATAAAAACGTGTTCAAAGAAGTAAACTTAGAGCCTGAGGTGGGATATAGCAATTATTCAACAATGTCTTTCTTTTGCTTCCAAAAAGTTTTCCACAATTTGGTGCTATTTCTTTTATGATAAGGTACACCATCTAAAACATTTTAGAAAAAATGCCCCCAAAATGTTATGTTTAATTACAGTAGCCTGGCAGACAGCACAATTAAGATATATCTTGTACTAAAGGATAGCAAGTTTCTCAACCCATTATGATGCAGAATACAAGCTACCCATCTAATAGCTCAATTATCCAAATGTTTGAGACAAGAAATTAACCCATTTTTATAACACTTGTCTACGCAGTTCCATACTTTTCTCAGAAGTGTTACTGGATTCCAGTCTTATTTGTTATGTTTGAGGCTAATGGTTATTCTTTTCTCCCAACTTCAACACATGAAGCTTTTACCATTCTCATAACCTTTTTTTACAGCTAGATTTTTGCAAAAGTTTAAGCACAGTAATATAATTGAATCAAGAGAAGAAGAACTATTATGGTCTTAAGAATGAACAAATGCTCCCTTAAGAGGGCTAGTTTATTTGCAGGGGGAAAGCAGTAGGGAATAGAAGGGGAGGCTGTGGCTGTGTTCACGCAACAGAACAAGCAACTTGCACGGTAACCATGGTTCTGATTTTTAAATGCATATACCGCTGGGGCTCTCTAAGCCTCCTGATTTGCCATTATGTAGCTGACAGACAACCTGCATTAGTGTGTTTTTCCCCTCCCCACTCAGTCTTCCCACTGCTGACATGTAGCTTACCAGCCATGGTGCCTGAAATTCAATCCCAAGCTGCATTACTCCCTGTCTAGGCCACCTATCTCTTCCACATTGGACCACACAAAGAGGCTACGTGGTGGGAATAACTTCAGCAGTCATTACTCTTTCCAGGGGACTCTGTGGTGGTTGCATACCAGGACCCTGGAAACTGCAGTCCTGGGTTCAGACAACATAAGCCATGGCAGTATGAAGAAACCATTGCTTCTTATCATAGTTTCTAAACACCAAACTTACTAGTGTGAAATGCCATTACTGGGTCTGGACAACATGACTAAAACTGGTAAAAAACAACATGGCTTGTCTTGTCTAAACATGACTGCATGCCCCCCTAAGCACTTTAGAGGAAGGCTGAGCTATAAATATATTTTTTAAACCTTTTCCACTCAACAAAATGCAACAAAAGGCTGATTTTCTGCATTGGCTGTGAACAGTTAGCTCTTTTCTAATTAGCTTTCCACTTCCAAATCTCTAGCAAATAAAATTCAACTTACAGTCCATAAATCATGCCAACTCCCTGCCTATGTTCACACATTAACACTATGCAATGCCACAAAGTTGGCTATCTTACCTTGTGTCCTGTATTCACATATTTACGAGGTAACTACTCATGAGTAGTTACCAAGTGCCTCCATCTTCCCTCCAAATGGTGGCACGTATTCCACCAGCCATCACAGCTGGGAATCAGTCCTGCTTGCCCCACCTTCCTCTTGGAGCACTGATTGGACACTTTCTGCAGCTGCCATCCCCACTCCCCTCAGGGCTCCCACAGGATACAAGCAAGAGGTCCAAAGTGGGGAGGAGTCATGCTACCCCCTGCTATGCCACTTGTCTGTTGGATATAGGAGAAATCCGCAGTGTGTTGCTAATATTCCCAGGGGACTAAGCAGTCTTCCAGATATCAATATCAATATTCTTCAAAGAATTATTTTAGTTTGCAACAATGAGGAAAGAAAGGAACTGGAAGTGTCTTGAATTCTTTATTTTGCACCAGTAAGGGCAAAAAGGCTGTGGTTGGCTGTCTTGTTACACAAAAGTTTAGTGAAATCGTGTTCTTATCCACATAAAACAAATTCTAATGAAATAAAGTTTCTTGCCTCAAAAGTTAACATCTTATTTTTAAAAATTCTGCAACATGACAAATTACTCTATAAACATCCACAATATTGGCTGAAAAGGCAGTTAAATATTGGCTGCCACTAGAAAAGGCAGTTAAATACCATGATATTGCCACACAAATGCTACCAAAACCAAGCTGCTTCAAATTTATAAAGCTTCACCTTCCTGAGTCTCTTCTGCAAGAATGGGCTATTACACATAAGCATCTACATCACATTACTGCTTGGCCAAGAACAATAGGCAGTGTGCCATAAAATGTCTTCAAATGCAAACTCAGGAAACTTCGAAGACTGAAAGATTACTCAGAGTTCCAACACTGAGTTGGAAGTCAAGTAAAGCTCTCTAATTGTATATACAGGCATTCAAGATGATTCAGTTCAGCAGATTCACAAATTTCTATAAGAAGTTGGATAGTACCTAAATAAAACTTTAGGATGTTGTAAGCTACCTAAAGATGTAAAACCACAGCATTTAGTCAAGTCTCTGTTCTGTCCACAAAGGGTCACCAAGATGGCTTTATACCAAGCAGAATTACTCCTAGATTACAAATTTCCAATAGTTTTGCAGAAAAAATTAATTTGGAGTTCTGTGTAGGAAGATATGAAGCACCAGAATCATGAACTTACTAGCTATAGCACAAACATAAACTCCTCACAGTATGTGCAGTCCTATGAAGGCCTCAATTCTTTGCAGGTGTGAAATCTTGGTTAAGATCATGCAGCAATTAAAACACTTCATGCTGGTTTTACTCAAACAAGGAAAAACAGATGGCTGTGGTATTGTGAACAGTCCCAGCAGCAAATATTAGTTACTTCCAGATACAAATTCTACATGTTTTATTCTTGAGGAACACAGCACCATCTTCACAGCAACACAGAAAGTTTCATCAAAATATTAAAATAGATATCCCCAAACCTGTCATTAAGCCATTTGATTTAAATAGCTTTGAATAATCAAAGCATTAATAATATACTAAGGTCACAGAGATGCCCCCAAAAGGTACAACACTGCTCCCATGTTGTATTCTCAAAGGCATATTCTGAGGGAATATTCTTAAACAGTGAACCATTCTTTTATGACACATTTAGAAAATCTTAGGGAAGTAGGCCATAACTTTGCTACTACCTCCATCTCTAATAGTGAACTAGCTTTCTATAGGAGCTGTACAGTGTTCAGAGTAGGGTGTCTGAGAGCACTCAACATCCATGATGCAGAAATTGTTGGCAAGTTACCAACAGCTAGACAGGACAGACTGACAGGCCCCTCATCAGATTACCTGTAAGACATTCCAAAGGAATCACACAACTTCAGTGTGGGATTAAAAAAAACCAAGGAAGTATATTCTTGTCTCTCATATTGCTCTATGCTTTGGTGACTGTCACAGGAGGACTAGGGGCCAATCCTTTCATGTTGCTTCTGCATGAACCTTCATGGGGCTAGGGTAGAGCGTATTCTCCCATTACAGGCAATTTCTTTTAAAAAATAGTGATATGTGTATGTGTGTGTGTGTGTGCGCGTGTGAAAATGAGAGAGAGAGATTCTAATACACTAAAAATATTGCCATTATATCTGGGGTCATTCCATGCAAATATTTACTGGGGATACAGGTAATTTTTAACACCTCAAGGATGCCAGAGGCTGAGAAATACATTTTATTGGACTTAAGCATTTACATCTTAATCCAGGAACAAGATGCAATAGTTGTCTCTATCCCTACAAGATTTTATCGGGCTTCTTAGCTAACGTTTAATTAAAGACAATTCCTGTCACCCTAACTTCTGTTTCATTAAACAAGAACTAAGCTCTGTTGGGGACGCTCCTTTAAGGAGGACAACTGCCGCTGCAAGAATAGGATATTTTGCCTTTGAACAAAGAGTGTAACACACAGCAAGCCAAAAATCTTGCCTGATTTTGCCCCAGCAGGAATTTGTTCTGAAACACACCACCTTCCAAATTTGCCCAGCTAGATCATGCAGCAAATGGTTGGACACTATCTTATTCTTGCAGGACTTTTCCATCTCTGTGCCATGAGACAAAGGATCCACAAAAGGGGAAGGAAGACAATGTTTTATTGAGCATGGGAACTGGAAGGATCCATCTGACTCAATTCTGACTGATCCAGCAGTTCAAAGTCATCCCCTTCAGCATCTGTGTCCAGCTCTGAGCTGGAGGTGTGGAGCAAGGCCTTGGCCTTTTGCTGCTGCCTGTTGCCATGCATGGAGCCTGAATGGGAGGCTCCTGACAAGGCAAGCTGGATCATGCCTCTGGTTACAAAGCCAGCTAAGTCATCTGTGAGGTTATGTGCCAATGGCAGCTCACCCAGGAGGAGCTCTGAGGTCACTCCCTCCTGGTTGTGAGAAAGCCGCTTATCTTCCTGATCCTGTGTTCGGGCAGCGAGGCTAGGGATGCCTATACTGGTATCATCCTCATCATCTATGCCTGTCATCTCGGGGTTGATAGAAGGGAAATCTGGGAGATCTCGGGCAAAGGATTCCTCAGGGTCACTCTGGGCATCAAAATCTACGGAGAGAAACAGAATTCATCATTTAAAACCATAATATGACTTCTTCTCTCACCACCAAACAAATTAACTTCATTTTCAAGAATAATTCCTTTTATGCTATATTGCCTCTCCCAAGAATCCACAATCAGGACATTAGCAGTTATCAGCATGAAAGAGAACTACAGAAACTCTAGCTACATTCACTTATTTAACCAAACTGTTTGCTTTCTGTGAGAAAGAGAAAAATCAAAGCTTCTGTACTACAGCAGACACTCAGAACAGAATCTGGGCAACCAAGAACAAACTACTGCATTATTTCATAGCAACTGTATCCTGTATATACCCTCTGCCTATCCAGCAACAACTGTCCTTACCTTCAGATCCCTCTGTCAAGGGGGTTTGGCCTCTTGACAGATTGAATGTCCCATTCTCAGTATAGGATACTTCCGCATCAGAGTGCTCTGAATCAGAGATAGCCAGCTCCTTAGCAACAACTGCATCATCCAACTTTGGAGAAACAGGTAACAAACAACAATCTTAGCAAGGTTATTTTCAGTACCAGACTGAAGAGTAGTCATGCACAAAGACAGGAAAGGCCAGCGGTTTTTTTAAATAGAAAATGCTCAAGGAAATACCAAAGACAAGTGATTTTTCATACTGAAAAGGTATCCCAATCAACATATCCAGAGTCTACCAAAAGCGGACAAAGTTGATTTGATCTGATTAACTTAAAACTAAAGCTGGGCTGAAATTCCTGTTGTGTAAAATTATATAATGCACCTATTTAGGCAAAAGAGTTCCTGAAGTTTCAATGCAGGAATGTTTTAAGAAGGAAAATTTGCTGAACAGGAAAAATGTGTGTGTACATGTAAGACTGAATGTGGAATGTCAACAAGATGCAGTTAATTGGCTGCGCTTGGAGAAAAAATATTGGACAAAGAACCACCAAAGCTGATATGATGGTTGTGTAATTAATAGGTGACGTAACAGAACAGACCTCTAAAGGTGATATTCAAGCCAGAACCTTCTTCTTTACCCATGGATAAATGATTTCATTATATAATAGAATTGTTTTACTGCATATTTTTATATATCAAAATTAAGTTAGCTAATTTGCTGTTACGCTTTTGGCTTTGAAAGCCATCTTGAGATCTGTCTTGGATATAGACAAGATAAACATGTTAAATACATTTAAAAAATCCAACACATGTAAGTCCAATTAATGTACAACCAGGACACTTAATCAAAGGACATGTTTTCCACATGGGGAAAAATAGTATTTAAGCTATACAGAAATAAACAGAACTCTGAGAAAGGCATGGACACCAAAGAAATAGTTAGCAAGTTCCCTGCTTCTGATTACATGACCTGGGTTGGTGAGGTTCTGCTCCAACACTGCTATCTATTTGAACAAATGTGAAAAGTATAAATGGATTGAATTTAATCTCATTTTATGTAAATAATTGTGTTCTGGATGTTTTAGACTCAGTGTGTGACTCTGTTTAGATACAAAGGTGGTATCTAATGGCAATTTCTGGTTCAATTAACCCACAGATAGTAAAGATGCATCCTGTATATCCCTAGTAGGTAAATTCTGTAATGTCCAAACCCAGAATTTTGGGTTAAACAATTCCAAGTTAACCCAAGAACAAGCTAGAGCAAGCTTAAGAACACCTTAAGGTTGTCTAACAGACAAACAGCCAAGATAATCCTAGGTGTCTGGGTTGGACATTATGGAAGCCACCTAGAAATCAGGTTGTTGCACAAAACTGGGTTAATTAGCCTAGGAATTGCTTCCAGACACTATCATATCTGAAATGGATTAATATCTCATGCTGTGATCCATGCATTTTGAACATTCCCTCCCCATTTTTACAGGGACACGTGTACTTGCTTTGAAAGAACAGGGATATTTTATTGCTTTAGTGTAGCAGGGGAAATTTATTTCCCTGAATTTTTCAGGCTGAGGTTTTGCCATGGTTACCTTGCTAAACTTTAGAAGGTAGCTGAGGTTTCTAGCTAACCCATCAGGAAATGTGACCTTGCCTCACACTGTTGAGTAGCCACCAGGAACAAAACAAATGATTTAATAAAGCAGGAGGTGGGCTATAAAATTAAGGTAAATATATTTTTTTGGGAAAGGAGATGGTGCCTATATATCACTACCACTGCCAACTGAGGCTAACACTCCATGCATTTGGTAAAACAGACTCTACTTCTTGTTAGCTTATGGTATTTGCTCATCCTTACAGTGCTACAGGACTGTACACTGTTAGCCCCCTGGAAGTTATCATGTAGGATACAGAATGATCATGAACACAACTAGCATTTTGACATATTACTCTAGGTGTCAGCACAAAATAGCTGTCCTGGGAGGTACAGCAAGGAACAAATGACCTGCCCAAAAGATGGAGTACAAGGTTAGGGTAGGGGTTACATTAAACAACTCAGTTTAATTGACCCAGCTTCAGCAAAAAATAAATAAAAAATGTTTCAGTGGAAGCCTAGCTCACAGGAAACCCAGATACCAATAAGGAATACATTAATGACTTTTCAGATGGAAAGGACAGGATAGCTTCGTTGGTGTCAAGAAAGATACAATGGTACCTTGGCTCACGAACTTGATCTGTTCCACAACTCTGCTTGTGACCCAAATTGGTTGTGACCCAAGTCAAATTTCTTCATAAGATTCAATTTAAATAAGGTTAATCTGTTCTGGCCCCTCCGAATGTGGTTGAGAGCCAATTTTTGGTCGTGAGCCAAGTCAAATTTTCCCATAAGGTTCAATGTAAATAAGGTTAATCAGTTCTGTAACTATTTTTTTAATCAGAAAAAATCGAAACAAAGTGACAAAGAACAACAAAGTAACAAAGTACTGTACAGCACAGTGGAGAACACTAACCTAGGTTGTGGGAAGGTTATTGTTTTGAGAGAGTCCCCCTCCATAAGGACACTGAGGAGATCTCTTTCAGGGGTTTCCTCTCTCCTTTGTCTCTTAGCTGCAGGGTCAATTTTGGTGAAAAATCTGTCTATAGTCACTTGCTTTTTCCTGCACTGCATAACCCTCCAGAAATGAGACCACATTATCGGTCATCAGATGCAACACTCCGTTCGTTACAGTTATGTTGGGGTGGTGGTTCTCAAAGAAATCCTGGCATGGGCGCACTCCTGCAGGAAAGATGGGCACAATCTTGGCCATCTCCCCTCCCAACAAGCACAATTGCGGCCATCTCCCCCCCGTCCCCCACCCCAAGTGGGGAGATGGCCACACTCACAGTCACGTTCATTCAGGGAAGATGTGCGTTATCGTGGTGGTGCTGTGCTGTGCCCGTCTTTCCTGCAGGAGTGCGCCCGTGCTCACGCATGTCTTCTCTGCACAACTGCGATCGTGGCCATTTCCCCACTTGGGGGTTGTGGGGGGGGGGGAGATGGCTGCGATCGTGGTCACCACCCAATGCAGAGTTCATGACCCAAGTCAAACTTTTCATGAAATTTCTGTTTGTGAACTGATTTGGTCGTGAACCACGGCATTCGTGAGCCGAGGTACCACCGTATCTGGGGACACATGGGGTTAGGAGTATGTGAGGAATCCGGGGGTGGGAATCCACTGGATTTTCTAGGCTCAGCTGCCCAGACTCCAGTCTGCTTTGTCTTGGGTCCAAGTTCCTGGTGAGCACATCCAGTGTTTACAGGGCATTCACCATGGATTGAGCCCCACATGCTGTGCGAGCAGCACCCTTCTTCTGTACCTACTATTGCTGGCAGTGGAGGGTGGGGAAGAAGGTGGTTGCTGGGAACAGTGCCTGGCACACCACACCGCCTTTTTCTGTGCCTCCCACTGCTCCCAATGGAGAAGGTTGCCAGGTGCACAACACAGGGTCCATGAGTATTTGTGGATGACTTCTCGATTCAGCTCACTTTGCAGAACCTGGCCAAGCATGAGAGGAAGTCCGTGGATGCTAGAGGGACTGATTCCAAAAGGGTTTGTCCCAGCCCTACCCCCTGGGTACCATGTAGCCTTCCCTTGAGATACAGTCAAAAAATATTTAATCACCTTTACATTAAGTGAACTGAGCCAACAAGAATTTGTGTCTTTTTCTAAGTTTGAGAGTAAGAGTCAACTATAGTGGTCTTTGTCCACTTGGATTTTGGTTGACTTTAGATGTTTTGATTGAGACCATTTAACAAGAGTATGAAAAATCCTGTATTTGTGTAGCGATTTCTCTGAGATTCCTCCCACTCTGTGACCTGTGGTGCTTAAGAAAAAGAACTATGTTACCCCTCCTAAGCTGACTAGAGTAGTCAGAAGCATAGTCTGACAGAGCACAGTGCTTTAAAAAAAAATCTAATGAAGCTTTAAAAACAATTTCCTATTCAAATTAAGATTAAGAGAAAAGAGCCACCAGAAGATATTACATGCTTCAAATCAGTAAACTATATACAGTGACTCACAGGCTAACATACTGCTCCTCCCTCCAATCCCAGCAAGATCTGCACTACGTTTACCTTGGGACAGAAGGCAGCAAGCTCTTCTTCACTGTCACTCCCATCAGCATTACCAGGATGCTGCCTCCGCATCTGATGTTGCACTGCAGTGAAATCAGGGCCCAGAGAAGCAGTTACAGATTGGAAAGAATACCTCAGTATGTCCACAAAGAGGTCAATCAGAAGAAAAAGGGGCTGGACAAAAGCAAAACTATTGAGAAATAAACTAGGCTTGCTAGAGACTGCAAAGGACACAATGGACATATCAAGACCTGGAACAACGGCTGACTTCTGTGCCCTAATTAGGTGTGCAACAATCCTGATCAGAAGGTTTTAATCCTTAGTTGTTTTAGAAAACGTGCTAATTTCCAAGAAATTGTGGTTAGATCAGGAAGGATATTCTGACTGTACTTCTATTCAAACTACCCATGTGCTGAATTTATCATGTCACAAGCAAACAGGGGATGGATGAAATATGCAACACCCCCCCCCCCCAATCCCACCCATTAAATAGAAATAAGAATAAGAGCCAGGGTGGAATAGAGGTTAAGAGTGTGGGATGGGGACTCAGGAGATCTGGGTTCTAGTCCTCACTCAGCCATGCAGCCAACTGGATGACTTTGGGCCAGTCACAGACCTTCAGCCCAACCTACCTCACAGGGTGGTTGTCATGGGGATAAGACTGAGAGCAGGAGGAGGAGAATGATGTAAGCCCCTTTGAGTTCTTTAAATAAGAAAAAGGCAGGATATAAGTCAAATAAATAGATAAATAAATGGGTCAAAGTTAACCAGCTGTACCAGACTTACATTGCTTTTCCTTATGCTTAGACATCATGTAGCCATGAACACTGAAGTCCAAATGTTGCAGAGCTGGCTTCAGTTTGGCATACAGGCGTTGACCCAGATGGTGGTAAACAGCAAGTGGCCACAGTAGGAGGGAAAGCACTGGAGGAAGAGGATGATGAGAAGGCTGATGCTCACTGAACACTCCCAAGGAGCATTTCAGGAGACTAGAAATTTTTTAGTGCAAGGCAACAAGAACACTTAGCTTACGACAGTGTTTACGATGTGGACTTCCAGATGTTTTGGCTTACAGTTATCACAAACTCTAGGTAGTACAGCCAACACTGAGTGATCATGGGAGTTTTTGTCCAGCAACATTTGGTGGGCCACACGTTGCCCACCTCAATTTTCAAGTAAACTGAAGCAAACTGGATCAGGCTCTGGCTGAAGCCAGCTTCATCTCATAGTCTGGCCTAATTGTGTCTAAAAGGATCTACCCTTTCAAGTGAAGAGCACTCTATTGTACAACCCTCCCTTGACACAGTTACTCACTTGTTAGATAGGCAAGACAGACACCTGGAATGTACTGGCCCAACACCGCCAAGAATGTGAGGACACCACAAGCAAGAAGGCAAAACTGAGGAAACAAAACCCAAAGTTAGTTTGATCTGAATTAAGGGAAGCTAGCAAACTGTCTCTTATGACACAAGACCATACAAGCGTATTTTAATTGCTGCCAGCAAGCAGCAAATTGTCTTCAGAACAAAGACAAATTTCTCAAGCAGATATTCTGCCTGAGAAGACTTGTGAAAGCAAGGGGATAGGTCAAAATACTCATGAACTGTAGTTGTCTTAGTCCTGGCTGGTGTTGAAGGAACCAGGGCAAGAACCTCTAGAAAGCAGGTGGAACCAGGACCTGTCTGTTGAAAGTCCCATTGTATAGGATGGCCACAATATTTTCTGTCTGCCCTTTTCTACACTTCCCTTTCTATAGCTACCTCTACATTTTCCACTGTTCTGGCACAGAAAGAATACCTGTACCCGTGCATATATATGTATTTGTAAATGTAGCATGCAGTCTTCCTTGTAAGTATGGGCTAATTCTAAGGGATCCCACTCTCAGATTTTTGATTTTGATTAACCCTCCCCCTTCCCACTTCCCCATTATCAGATGGCTGATACCAGAGCGGGCTGCTTTTCACCTTGCCCGGATTTTGCCTTTTGAAGCCCAACAGGTTCCTCAAGAAGCTGTCTCCTGTGACCCATCCTTCTGCCAAATAGTGACACAGTTCAGGCACACTCAGCAGTTGAGGGTGGACATAGCCCCAGCTGGAAGGACAAAGATGACATCTTACCTTGCTAATCAAGTATCAACAAATAGATCCTACTGCAGTTTTAAAATGGCCCTCCCCTCATGTGTTCTCATTATACCTTTATGAAGCAACCTAATCCTTCTGTTTTACAAATTAGAAACCAAAATTTAAGTAGTGATTTGTCCTGGTTAAATCCATAGCAGAAGTGGAACTTGAAACTATATTTCTTACTTGCACACATACAGTGCCTTTCAGCCTGCCTCTGTTTTTCAAATTCTTGTTTGCTTAATCCAAGTGGATGCCTTCCCAACCACCAATGAACCTGCCTACAAGACTAGAGTTTTCCTGTGCTAGTAGCAACAAAGAAACAGCTATCTCACTGAAGAGGCAAAATCCTAACTACTCCCCCTGCAAAATGCGTTTTCCTGCTGCTGTAAGGGGCACAGAAACAGTCATCCCTAGATCTCAGTGGGCTGAGAGAGTAGGTTTAAAACCGCCCCATCCAGAGGTATGTGTGAGAGAGTGAAGGAGGATGTAAAAGTGCACATTTTTGTGTGGACTCTGCATCCGCCCAATCTGACACTAGATGGTTTGGTTTGTTCACACCTACTCTAATTCAAAAAGTCTAATACAAACAAATGGCATTTCAGCACACAAATCCCATAGAAATAAATGAGGGTTTCCTCAATATAAAGGGACATAAACAGAATAAACTTTCATAAAAATTGTCATAGAAACTGAGAGCCAGTGTAGACAGTGGTTAGAATGTTGGACTGGGACTTGGGTGATCTTGGTTTTAGTGCTCACTCTGCCATGTAGTTTGCTGACTGACTTTAAGCCAACCATGGGCTCTCTGCCCAACCTACTACTTGTTGTTGTGAGGATAAAATGGAGTGGGGGATCGTGTAAGCCACACTGGGTTTCTTAGGAGGAAGAACACTGGGGTATGCATGTAAACTAACAACATCAACAGCAGTAGGCAGCCTAGTGATGGTGGGACAAACCACATTTATATATTCACAATTAGGTTACATGAAGAGTATTAAATAACTTTGACTGTGCACTTAGAAAAATTAAAGAATGGCAAAACGAATGAACAGCAAAATGAGGATGTTTCCCATCCTTTCAATACATTCCTTCCACAAAAACTGTGGATTACACAGAACTAAGTGAATGCAGAGTTCAAGATTTCTGGTTTGTGTGACTTATAGTTAAGTCCTAATGATGTTTTACTGGACTTGCTTTGGAATAGTAGTCTAACTTCCAGGCAAGCATAGGGTTGCAGCCTTACTTGCAAAATACCAGGAAAGACAGTTGAACAACAATATTTAGAAACAATATACTTTTTCTTTAATCCACCCATTTAAACTAATTTATTGCCAAGGAAGATCTACATTTATAAAAAGCCTAATAGCTAAGCTATACAAGCACAGATATCATGAAACATTCAACAAATGGAAGCAAATTTTTCATACCTTTCATTATCTAATTCACCAGGTTGCACTATTAGAATATTAAAGAAACATAGGGATTAGTTGTAAAAATAAATACATAGGACAAAACTTTGCTGCATCATTAAAACAAGCAGATGAGTTGTAAATCACATTTTTACTACTGCTATCCCATAACAATCATGAGTTACAGATCTGAAGTACTTTATCATATCTTGTGCTTCCACTTTTATAAATTCACTCACACTCTCATCCTATTGTATTTTTAAAACTTATACACCACTGTTCATTGGAGCTTCCAGTAAGCTTATACAGCAATGCCTGTTTTGTTATTGAACATCACTACATCAGCTTGATGTGGAGATCTTACAACCAGTACTGGAGCTTGTGCAAATTTTCTTTTGAGGTCTAAGCAAAGACAGTGGTTCTCAAAATATATGAGTTCTCTGGATCTTTGAACAGAGCCCCAGTCCTAACCATTACCTTTCAGCCAATACAATGCCAAGGTCCCTGTATAGCCTGACCTGGATCAATTGCCAACACTGGGAGGAAAAGTGAGGCAATTCCTGACACCACTTAGGCATTCCTTACTCCTGGAACAAAATAATTCTCTATTCTCAATGCCTAGATAGGAGCAGAAAGTGACCTGGGAGGCAACTGATTTTGTGGCATCAAGTATACCTTGGTTTGATCCTGGTTATGAAGGGTAGGTGAGGGGAATGAGCTACAACTAAAACTCAAGGAAACAGAGCTTACCTTTTATTTCAGGCCAAATGTTGTTCTTCCACTGATCTAAACATAATAATAGTATCAAGGTGAATGCAATCAGGAATATCAGATGCAGAGATGTCAGAGCAAAAAACCTGAGGAAAAACAAACTTAGTACATTATCTCTTCTGGAACTGTTACATGAAAATCAGAGGGCAGTCAGGCCATTGAGCAGTAGGAGCTCAGAAAAAAAAGTCAATAGGACTGATACTAGCAGATTAGAAAGCAAAAGTATTATAAAGCTAATACCCCAAGGGCTCAAAATTACCCTTCTACAGCATTCAACAAACCACACCTCCAAGAGCTTTTTATACTCTTAGTGACAGGAAATTCCAGTTACTGCTCTAAAAAATTATTAAAAAGTTTCTCTTAATTTTTGAAACTGTAAATTTACCAAACAACTGGCATGGTCATTAAGCACCTTTCATCTTGCCTAATAATTTTTTTCTACCCCTTTTAATTTTTTGGCTTAACATCCAACCTGATTATGAGCTCTAATGAGCAAAAATACCTAACACACATGAGACCTCAGGCATCCATCTATAACAATGTTAATTCACCTTTTGTATCCTACAAACAGAATAAGCACACTTTCAGATTTTTTTCCATCATGCACATTACTTAACCAATAAAAACCAATAAAGGTAAGACTGCTGCAGCAAAATTCTGGAGGATCAAATGTTGGAGTACTTTTGAGAGATGAGGGTTCTCCACCCTATGCTTGCTTCTAGTATGTGGTTTCCTAAGAATTGGTTCCAAACATAGCTCAGCAGGTTGGTACTGCAGCCACCTGAAGATAGCACAGGGACTGAACAGTTCTCCTTGTTACCTTAGGCATTGTTACACCCAGAGAAGGTTGATGCTCAAATTAAGCAGTCAGTTAACAAGATACTAAAGTGTTATCCACTACTCTCTAAAAAGGGGGCGGGGGCGGGGGCGGGGGCGGGGGGAGAGGATAAGAAGCCAGCGATCTCAGTGATGACATAAAGCTAGATCTTGACTGGGCAAACAGAAGGCTTTGCTGTGGGGAGCAATGAGATTCAGTCTTATTGTAGATCAAAGGAGTTCCATAAAAGGCACTCGATCCTCAAGAGACTCATTGCCAAAAATAATTGGGAATCCCTGTATTAAATCAGCCTAAAGTTTAAAGCCAGAACTTCCCATCCAGCATCCAAAGAATGCCATCAAGCCCACAAGGTGTCCCATGTCCCCATGCTGGGAAACAGCCTTCCTTATTCATTACATTGAGGGAGGAAACTTTTGAAGTTCAGCATGCTCCAACCTGTTCTGACAAAACTGGGTAATGACTTTTATTGGCACCTTTTCTCTTGGCAAAGATACATATGAACTTTCTGAATAACAAAGTTCAAGCTAAAATGGACATGCAACTCAGATCTTTCTAGTTACAATAAAGCACAAATACTTTTATTCACTTCGGACGGATTGTGTCTTGATCTCAAAACAGAAGACATGAACAAGCAAGAATGATGTTTCCTACACAGTAGTGAAAGTTTTTCTATGTCAGTTTGTTTTAACTTCCTAATCAAAGCTAAATACAAGTATAGGACCGGGAAATCGAAACTCAATGCTAGTTAGGAATCAGATAGACCGGGAGCAGTCAAGAGCGTTAGCAATGCTTCCCTGGAATAGTCCACACACCACCTCCAAGTAAAGTCAGGCCTGTATTTTTCCTGAAAGAAGGAGCTTTACCAGGGTCCCTAATTCCTTCTGCAAACCTTCAAACAGTCCCAAGCAAACAAGCAAACCCGCCCTCCCCCAGGGCGACGAACATGTTTGCAGCCCGGAGACAGGCATCCCCCCTCAGCCCTCGAGCCCACTGCCAAGGTTGCGCACCCGAAGACCGCGTGGGCGAAAGCCCAGCCAAGTGCGCTCCTCGCCGGCCTCTCCCAAACTAGCGTGGCCTGCAGGGCACTCAGAGCCGGTTCGTAAGGCCCGAGACGGGCTCCCAGGAAGGCGCAGAGTGCGCGCACTCGCTCCTGCCGCTCCGATGATGGGACCTGAGCATCGCGAAGAGAACCGCCTCCGCTACTCCTGCTGCTCCCAGCAGTCCATCCTGCTACCGCCTCCATTCTTCTTGAGCCCAGCATCACCGGAAAGCCGGTGGGAACGAAGATAAGATCATCGTCACCAACAGCCGCCACCGCAGTAGCAGCAGCACTAATTCAAGAACGATCTAATGGCTGCTCCCATGCCGATGCAGGCAGAGGAAGCAACAGGATTGGACGCGCCATATTGCTGTACGGAAGACTCAACCAAAATATATGCGCACTCCCATTTCGGCGCATGCGCGTTGCCAAGGTAAAGCCGGGTTTTAGGCCGCGGCGGGGAACAGTAAAGAAGTAGGAGGGCCAGCAACGGACTTTATTTTCAGGCGGGAAGGGACGGCCGCTGGAGGAAGCTGCAACTAGTTTGGGACAAATAGAAGCCTGATTCGTTATGCCACGAGAGATCATCACGCTGCAGCTGGGGCAATGCGGCAACCAAAGTAAGATCAAGAAGCGAAGTCTGTGGGGGCTCTTTTGAAGGAGGTTCCGGCGGAGGGGCGTCCTAAGTAGGTTGGGCCAGAGCTACCCGCAGGCCTTGTTTTGCGTGGGCGGTTCTGGAAAGGAGCAGGGCTTTGTTCTTAATGAGAGCAGAATAAAAGAAATGAGAGGTTGGGAGTGGCAAATCGAGTGGTAGAGTCTTATTCTTAAATTCTGAGTTTCCTGGGCTGTTAGGAATTAGCTTTACCCTGATTTCACAGAATTCCTATCAGAGTAGGCATCCGGTTGAATATGTTGAATTGATCATGTCAGGGACTCTAACCCCAGTTGGCCTGAAGCTCGTTTATCTAACCGCAAGAGACAACAAACCACCAGCAAGATTTTTTAAAAAGCTCTTAATTGAAGTTTGCACCTAACAATACAGAGCAGTCTGCTCTTCTTTCATAAAAGACAATCATTCATAAAAGATAAATGCTTTTATACCTTTAAGAACAGAATCATTGGTCATTTGGGCCTGTCCCTATCCATTTATTGATCCCTCCTTCTGCACATGGTTGACTAAAGAGTGTAGGCCACATACCACTTGTCCTAAGTGGACAGTTCAGCAGAAAGTTAGGTAGCAGCAATTGTCTTCTCTGTGCGTGCCCAGTTTCTCAGGCTAGTAGAGCCCTGTCACAACTAACAATGCTGTTTCAGCTGAACAGTTTTTGTTACACTAGTGTTAGAATCGTGCACACACACAAAATTAATTTCTGTGTGACTTGAGTGATACTGTTCAGGGCAAGGGCTCAGCAAGGTTTCAAAGAGTTTAAGCACAGGGAATTGGAAATTTCATATCAATAGGGACATGCTTGAGCACTGTTGGTAAAGCCAAAAACTGGGTATGTTTAGTCTTGCGAAGAAAAGACTGAGGGGAGATATGATAGCATTCTTCAAGTACTTGAAAGGCTGTCATAGAGAGGAAGGACAGGATATTTTCTTAATCGTCCCAGAGTGCAGGATGCAGAAATATGGGCTCAAATCACAGGAACCATATTTGAGCTGAACATCAGGAAGAACTTCCTGACTGTTAGAACAGTATGACAATGGAATCAATTACCTAGGGAGGTTGTGGGCACTTCCACACTAGAGGCATTCAAGCTGCAAGAAGACAGCCATCTGAGAGGGATGTTTTGACTGGGAGTCCTGTACTGAGCAGAGGGTTGGACCTGATGGCCTTCTGGCCCCTTCCAACTCTTCTATGATTTTGTAAAGATATTCTAATACTAAACTATGGGAAGGAACTGCCTTATTGATTTCTTCTCATTAATGCCTTTATTTTTTTTTTCTACTTGAGAATGGAGCAGAGGCAGATGTAATCTTTTTTTCTTTTTTACTGTTACAGTTGGGTTCGAGTTCTGGAAACAGCTTTGTGCAGAACATGGCATTAGCCCTGAAGGTATCGTGGAGGACTTTGCCACTGAGGGCACTGACCGCAAAGATGTTTTTTTTTATCAGGTAGTACAATAGTTTTCCTCTTTCTTGTAGGGTTTGCAGTGGGTTATGTGGGTAGTCTGACTCAATATAATTGTGAGAGCATAAGGTACTTGCTAAGCAATTAACTCATGTTGCATGTTTTTTCTCCTCCTCTGCTTGGGCTTTCTTTCCTCTAATATTTAGAAATACATTTTGTCTGCTGCTCTATGAAATACTTATTCCTAAGCTTTTAAAACTTTCAGATTTAGGAAAAATCAGGGTTCTTACAAATTTGATACTTTACCAGGAAGCATTGGTCCTTAATCCTAAAACAGGAGTTTCCAAACTTTTTGGGTTGGTGAGCATACTTGGAATTTTGATTGTGTGCTGTGGACATTCACAAAATGACCGCTAGATATTGCATTTATATTCCAGTATCTTCCACTTGCTAAGAACCTAAAGTGGGTTAAATGATCTTCTCTATTTTATCCTCCTAACTGTGTGAGGTAGGTTACACTGAGAGTCAACAGCTGACCCAGTGAGCTTAATGGCTGAGCGGAGACTAGAACCTGGGTCTCCCAAGTAGCAGTCCAACGGTCCATCTACTTGCTAATTCAGTGGTGTGGGTGGCTTCCTGCAACATTTGAACCCTTCTGCTTTGCAGTAGGTGGCTTATAAAGCACCCTAACAAGCCATGATGAGAGAAAGTTGTTCTAAATTCAAGGCTGTGGCTTCCTTTATGAATGAATCCATCTCTTACTTGGTCTTCCTTTTCTTCTGCCTTTGCCTTTCCCCAGCATGATTATCTTCTCCAGGGAGTTTTGCCTTCTCGTGCTGTGTATATCATGCTTAAAATTGCAGGTAGATGATTAGATAATTGATGAGGGGACAGAGCAATCTCTGAAGCTCTGTTTGGATTTCTTGTTGACAGGCAGATGATGAGCACTATATCCCACGTGCTGTCCTCCTGGATCTGGAGCCACGAGTGATTCATTCCATTCTGAACTCTCCCTATGCTAACCTTTACAACCCAGAAAACATATACCTGTCTGAGCATGGTGGTGGGGCTGGGAACAACTGGGCCAGCGGCTTTTCACAAGTAAGTGGGTCAAAAAGCTAGGAGTAAACATAGCTTGATTCTTTATAGCTGGACATGACCACCTTAAAACTTAATTTGGTTTAGTAGTTTTATTTGCTTGAGCACAAGAACATAACTTGTACCAATGGGTCAGTTCACACAGTCACTGCACCTGTTGACAGATTGTAGTGCTGCCTGACCCCTGTCACTTTGACTTAAATAAATCATGGTGGTCTGGGGGTTATGTGAACCTGATCATTATCTAGACTGTAGAAAATAATAAAGCCATAGAATAGAAAGTTGAATATATGATACATTGTCTTACTCTCTCTTGTGATTTACTTTTCAGGGAGAAAAGATCCATGAAGATATTTTTGACATTATAGACAGAGAAGCTGATGGCAGTGACAGTTTGGAGGTAAGGGAAAATAATAGGAAGCTGATTGCCATGGAGACTGGGGAGATGTATTGACTTCAGGACTTCTCTAGGTACATAAAATTATAGATATCAGCATTAAAACATTTAAATCTTCACAAAAAGCTTGACAGCTATCTGTAGTGATTTAAATGGACTGTCTTCATCTGAGGAGCAAAAAAAAAAAAGATGGCGATCCTAACAGCTTGAGGGAGGCTGGGCTGGATGTGTTTCCTGAGGCTACAACTCAGTATATGGTGAACAGGCTCAATTCTGCAGTGGCGAGGAGCGCTTTCCTTCAGCTTCGGGTAATCCATCAGCTGCGTCCCTACCTGGAGGAAGACTGCCTAGCGACAGCGACACATGCATTGGTTACTTCCCAGTTGGATTTCTGCAACGCACTCTATGTGGGGCTGCCCTTGAAGACAGTCTGGATACTTCAGATGGTGCAAAATAGAGCAGCCAGGTTGCTGTTGGGGACTGGACATTATTCTCATATAACCCCAGTCCTCTGTCATCTTCACTGGCTTCCCATCGAAGTCCAGGCTCAATTCAAGGTGCTGGTTCTTACCTATAAAGCCCTTAATGACTTCGGACCTGGATACCTAAAGGAATGCCTTCTTCCATACTTGCCCTCTCGCCTCCTGAGATCAGCAGCAGAGGCCCTCCTCTGGGAACCCTCCCTGAAAGATATTAGAAAGCACTTTAATCTTTTCAGTGCCAGGCTAAAACCTTTTTATTTTCCCAATATTTTAAGGTTTGATTGTCATTTTAATATGGGTTTTATCACTAGAAATTAATTAGGATGCTGCATTTTATTTTGTTTGATTCTGGTTTACTGTCAAACTGTCCTGAGACCTCAGTAGCAAACAGTATTTAAAAAGCCATAAATAAATAAATAAATTTATTTAAGATAGTCATATGCCATCCTGTCGCAAAAACCTCAGGATGGCTTACATAAAATATAACATAAATAAATTCCCGACCCATACTGGCTGCAGTTAAAAACATAGAAAAGACAATAGTAGAATGTTGCTGGAATAAAAAGGTCTTAACCTGGCACCGAAAAACAAATAACGATGGCGCCAGGCGGACCTCTCTGGGAAGCACATTCGATAGGCAGGGCGCCACCGCAGAAAAAGCCCTCCTCCAGCTAACCACCCTCCTAATCTCCTTCAAGGAGGGCTCCTGGAGAAGGACCTCTGCCCCAGATCTTAGGGGGTGGGCAGGCACATATGGAAGGAGACACTCCTTCAGATGACCATATCCTAAACTATGGCTTTTTAGGTCATCACCAGCACGTCAAATTGGCCCGTATTTCAATTTGTAGCCAGTGTAGGTGGTAAAGGACCGGCGTTACATGTACACACCTGCCAGTCCCTGTTAACAACCTGGCAGCTCTCTTTTGAACCAATTGAAGTATCTGGACTGTCATCAAGGGCAGCCCCACATAGAACATGTTACAGTAGTCCAGTCGGGAAGTTACCAGTGCATGGGTCACCATTGCCAGGCACTGTTCATCCAGATAGGGGTGCAGTTGATAAATCAGCCGAAGCTGAAGGAAAGCGCTCCTTGCCACGGCTGTCACCTGGAATTCCAGGGATAGCTCTGGGTCGATGAGCACTCCCAAACTGTGCATCCTGTTCTTTAGGGGGAGTGCAACCCCGTCCAGAACAACGTTAGATACACCTACCTGGGAGGCTGAACTGCCTAACAACAGGAGCTTCATCTTGTCTGGATTGAGCCTCAATTTATTGGTCCTCATCCAGTACATCAACCTGGCTGGACACTGGTTAAGGACAGCCACTGCCTCACCTGGACTAGATGTAAAAAAGAGGTAGAGCTGGGTGTCATCAGCTTATAGGTGACTCCACAGCCGAAACCTCCAGATGACCTCTTCCAGCAGTTTCATGTAGATGTTGAAGAGCATGGGGGATAAAATGGAACCCTGTGGAACTCCATGGCAAAACTGGCATGGCGCAGAGCCACAATCCCCCAGCACCACCTTCTGGAATTGGCCAGTCAGGTGGGAGTGGAACTGCTGCACTGCAGTGCCTCCAATTCCCAACTCGGCCAGCCTATCCAGAAGCATACCATGGTCGATGGTATCAAAAGCTTCTGAGAGGTCACCAACAGGGGCACACTCCCTCCATCCTTCTCCCTGCACAAGTCATCATACAGGCCGGAAACCAGACTGAAATGGATCTAGATGGTCCGTTTCCTCCAAGAAACCTGGAGTTGCCTGGCCACCACTTGGTTGAGCACCTTGCCCAAGAATGGGATGTTAGCCACCGGTCTATAATTGGTGGCCTTGTCTGGGTCCAGGTTTGCCCTCTTCAGGATGGGCCTCATCACCACCTCCTTCAAGATGGCAGGGACCGAACCCTCCCTCAGAGAGGCATAAACTACCTCCTGGACCCAGGTATGCATCCTGTCCTTGGCTTTGATGAGTAGCCATGAAGGGCAAGGGTCGAGTAAACTGGTGGTAGGGCGTACCAGCCCAAGCACCTTGACCACATCCTCAGGCCACAATAATTGAAACTCATCCAACAAAGATGGACCAGATGGTGCTCCAGACACTTCCTGTATACCAGGATATACCAGTATTCCATGTGGATCTCCTCTTGCAGTTTATCTGTTCAGTTGTGAAATGGGCTATCCAGAATACAGTAGTGGTTTCTACATATTCATGGGAAATTCCCAGGTTTTAGGTCAGGTGTGAGGAATCTCAGGCTCAAGGTCAAATCTAACCCCCTTGGCTTCTCAGTCTGTCCATATAAATTTTACCAGATGGCCATGCCAACTGCCCCATCCTTCCCTGCCCAACCACTTTCATTTGGTGGTTTCCCAAACACAGGGCAGCTGTTTCTCATTCCTGTCCAAATATTTTACTGGTTTTAACTTCATTATGACATACTGAGGGAAGACTTCAGAGAGTAGGAATGTAGCTAGTCTTTTTCTCTCCCCACATGGGCCACATATAGCACTGCCAGCATCCTGAACTGAAATTCTTTACTGAAGCAATTGTGTTAGGGGCTGGGAATATATTGCAGTTTTTTTGAAACTGAAAACTTTCTGCAACTGGACAAGATATTTGGGATCTTTGCACTCCAGGAAGAAATAAGTCAAACACAGATTATACCTGGGTGGCTTTGGTGTCTGCTGAACTTGTCTTTAACCTTGTTGCAATGTGCAATGATTGAACATTCCACAGGAAGGTGATGTGTGTTGGTATATGTATGCACCCCCCTTCTCTCTCCTAATTTCTATCCTATGTCATTTTTCCCTCTAGGGTTTTGTGCTGTGCCATTCCATTGCAGGTGGGACTGGCTCTGGTTTGGGCTCTTACCTCCTGGAGAGATTAAATGATAGGTGAGTGATGGCACTAAATAGACATTTGTACACATGCACTGGGGTGAGGGGTGGAGGAAGGCTGTTTTGGGGAACTAGTGGACTGGCAGATGTGTCAGATACACAGCTGACTCAGAGCAAATCTTATCTATCTAATGCTACCTTGAGTTGTGACTTGAAACAGAAAAGAGACAGAAAAAGTCCTTTCCATCCACTCAAGCTAGGAATTTTCTTCAGCTTCTGCTAAAGTAAATCATATTTTTTTCAGATAAATACTGCAGTGGTTTAAGAATCATATTTATTTTGGATGAATTTGATAATTGCTTCAGAATTGTGTCCTCTCAGGGTTTCCAAAAATTGTGAGATGAAAGAAACTGATACTCAGTAGCAATTCAAATATTCGAAGCATTTACTTAACTAAACTCAAAAGTAATGCTCAGAAGTCCAAGAATAAACACTCTTTGACCACGATCAGATTCCATTCTAAAACTGTTTTAGTGAGCATCATCTTCTCCCCCTGACCCCACAAAACATGGCTTATCTCTTAGCCATAGTTTGTGATTTCCACAGGCACCTGTCGTTCATCAAGAGTTCTGCATCAGTTTTTCACCTTGCTGAGTTTGAAAAGCATTCTGTATGCAGCCATCAATGTTTCTTCTGTCCCCACAAAGGCAGATGTGGGCATCCAGTGATGGATAGGTGTTTCCATCCACCAAAGAGAGCAGCCTAACATTTCCTTGAAGGAGTTACCCCTTTGTTTTTTCCTGGGATGCTTCTAGCTCTCTAACACTACCTAATGTTATCTGCTGTACTCTACAAACGCAATTGCAATCGGCTTTCCTTGCTATTGAGGGGTATTGCATTCTTAATTTGAAAATCTTACTGTTCTGCAGGTGTGTGCTATAGAGTGGAGGAAAATAAAGTTAGGAGGCTGAATGACTCTTATTGTGCTCTTTATCAATGGCTGTGGCAAACTACAGTGGTACCTTGGCTCATAAACCTAATTCATTCCAGGACTCTGGTTGTGACCCAAATTGGTCATGAGCCAAGTTAAATTTCCCCATAAGGGTCAATGTAAATAACGTTAATCCATTCTGTAACCATTTTTTTAAATCAGAAAAACATGAAGCAAAGTGACAAAGAACAACAAAAATTTTGTTTTCTATCTCACCCTCCCCACCCTGAGCACAAGCTTGGCCATCTCCCTCCCCTCCCCCCTGCACGACCGAGATCACGCCTGTCATCCCAGTGCACTGGGGGGGAGAGAGATGGGTGCAGTCTTGGCCATCTCCCCACCCCCAGCACAATCGCGGCCATCTCCCCACTTGTGGTGGGGAGATGGCCGCGATTGTGCTGGTTGTGGGGAGGAGAGATGGCTGAGATTGCGCCCGTCTTTCCTGCAGCTGTGTGCCCATGATCACACACGTCGTCCCTGCACGAACGCAACTGCAATCGTGGCCGTCTCCCCACTAGGGTGGGGGTGGAGAGATGGCTGCGATCTTGGTCGCCACCCAACGCGGAATTTGCAACTCATGTCAAAATTTTCATGAAATTTTTGTTTGCAACCCAATTTGGTCGTGAACCAAGGCGTTTGTGAGCCGAGGTATCACTGTACATAGAAGTGAACCCTTGAAGTTATTCATTATTCCTTCCTACCAGAGCACTAAGCAGGCGATCATCTTCCTTTTTGACAGATACCCCAAGAAGCTAGTACAGACATACTCAGTCTTTCCCAACCAGGATGAGATGAGCGATGTGGTGGTGCAACCATACAACTCTCTCTTGACGCTCAAGCGGCTGACACAAAATGCTGACTGTGTGGTAAGAGGTGCTGACTGGGGATCACCAGTTTCTCCCTTTGATCACCAGTCCCTGCTTCAAGTGTTAGTTATGGGAATTGTACTATTTTACGTTCAAACACAGACTACATTCACACACCATGTGAAGCAGTCCAGCGATAAGCTGTGTAGTGTGCCTTGTTCTAAGAACAACCCACAGGAAGCCCACCAGGCAGATATGTCTTCTTTTCCCCCTGGGTCCTCCAGGTGGTATCCCACTGTTGTTCATAGCAGAAGCTGCCTGGTGTCCAATCTTTTCTATCACTGTCCTTTTTAGCTTGCTGCTTTTAAAATTGCACTTTTTTGACTCTCCTAAATACAATCAGCTGGGAGGTTGTTGCCCTTGAACATTACACAAATGTCTTCAATTTTTTTTTGTTTTGTTTTTTCCAAATATGTCTAGTCTTGCCTTGTCAATGGCTCTTTAAGTTTCAGTTTGCAAAGGGAAGTAGAGAAGGTAACAGATTGACAAGGTGAGATTGCGTATAAACTAATGTTGCACAGTGCCCTGCTGTCAATTGAATAGTAAAGGTGGAGAGAAGCGGTGGAGTAGATGCACCAAAAGGTGGGGGGGGGGGATTATCACCACTTTAACAGTGTCATTCATTGAAGTGTCTAGCTTACATTTCTCCATGTCCTCCAGTACTTCAGTTCTTCTACAGTCTCTAGCTAGTTTAGAAAGTCTCTTTTGGATAAAATGACAGCCCATTGTGGGTTGAACAACATATAGAACAAGCCATGGCTTGTCAGGGTATCTTGCTGCCCAAAAATGAGCTACCCTGTGGTAAGTAGATACAAACAATATGACAGATGATAAGTCATAGTGACAACCAAATCCCACAACCCATGGTAAGTTATGTTATGCAAATCCAGTCACACTTTCCTCTACGGAAAGGTCGATCTGTTTCATTTTTGTAGTCCTTTGTTAACATGCTTAGAGTAAGGGTGAGATGTTTGCTTCCTATGGTCCCATTGCTGCTTGCTGTGCCATCTCCCATCAACTTCAGTGTTAGATACTGCATGGCACTTGACCCTTATGCACGCACTTAGCAGGGCTGAGGGATGTCTCCCCATGCTTTCTAATACAAGATTCTTGTTTAACAGGTGGTTTTAGACAACACAGCTCTGAATCGTATTGCCACTGACAGACTGCACATTCAGAACCCCACCTTTTCTCAAATCAACCAGCTGGTAAGTGAGCAGGGATATTGTGAAGAGGCTCCAGAAGAATGAAGAGTGGGGTTTGATACTAATGGTATGTCTTGGTGAGAAGCATTGAGCAGAGTGGTCAAGATGATGGTAAAGATCCAGGGTTGGACATTATTTAAGTCTGTTGATTACAAAGTCTTTGGTTTTATATGCCTTTTTAAGCTGTAATCTCATACACCCCTTTGAAGAAAAATACTTTTGAAAACTAGTATAATTAAAAAATAAATGGGTTGGTTGTTGAAGTACTACTTACATTTCAAAGTTTGTCTTGAGAAACCTATATGTGGGTCAAGAAGCAGCAGTGAGAACTGGACACAGAACCATTGATTGGTTCAAAAGTGAGAAAGGAGTTTGGTAAGACTGTATACTATCGCCCTGCTTATTTAACTTATATGCAGAGCACATCATGAGAAAGGCAGAGCTAGATAAATCACAAGCTGGAATTAAGATTGCTGGGAGAAATATCCACAGCCTCAGATATGCAGATGATACCACTCTCATGGCAGAACGTGAAGAGGAACTAAAGAGCCTCTTGATGCGGGTGAAGGAGGAGAGCGCAAAAGTTGGCTTGAAACTCAACATTAAGAAAACTAAGATCATGGCATCCGGTCCTCTCACGTCCTGGCAAATGGATGGGGAAGAAATGGAGGTGGTGACAGATTTTATTTTCCTGGGCTCCAAGATCACCACAGATGGGGACTGCAGCCAAGAAATTAAAAGACGCTTGCTCCTGGGGAGGAAAGCTATGGCAAATCTTGACATCATACTAAAAAGCAGAGACATCACCCTGCCAACAAAAGTGCGTATAGTCAAGGCTATGATTTTCCCAGTTGCAACGTATGGCTATGAAAGTTGGACCACAAGGAAGGCTGAGCACCAAAGTACTGAGGCCTTTGAATTGTGGTGCTGGAGAAGACTCCTGCGAGTCGTTTGGAGTGCAAGGCGATCAAACCAGTCAGTCTTAGAGGAGATCAATCCTGACTGCTCTTTAGAAGGCCAGATACTGAAGATGAAACTCAAATACTGTACTTTGGCCACCTAATGAGAAGGAAGGACTCACTGGAGAAAAGCCTAATGGTGGGAACAATAGATGGCAAAAGAAGAAGGGGACAGCAGAGAATGAGGTGGCTAGATGGAGTCACTGAAGCAGTTGGTATGAGCTTAAGTGGACTCCAGGGGATGGTGGAGGACAGGAAGGCCTGGAGGAATGTTGTCCATGGGGTCGCAATGGGTCGGACACGACTTCGCGACTAACAACAACATATATAACATTTGGATTTTGGGGGTGGGGGGCTTGTTAGGCTGTGTGTATTTAATTTTTAGAGTACTATATAGAGCATTTTTCAGTTTGCTTCTCTATTCCTGACCATACAACGATCCTGTAAGGTAAAATGACCTTATTTTATAGGTAGGAAATTTCTGGGTAGGGTGAATATTTGAAGCCTTCTAGAGAACTGTGTGATTAGAGACTTGAAACCTGGTTCTATTTCAGTTTTCTATCAAGTGTCATAGGGAGGGCTAATGACTGCATACTGTTTTTTTGTTCATTTGTTTTTTGGTAGAAAACTCTTATCACTAGGCTTGAACTTTGTGGCCTTTATCTTTCAGGATTCTCAGGAAGAAATGAAATGAGGGATTCCAGGAAATACAGTATTCTTTTTGATCTCTGGGCAGGTTGTGGATCTTACTGTAACGTTTGCCTTGTTTCCTTGCTAGGTCTCTACTATCATGTCTGCTAGCACCACCACGTTGCGTTATCCAGGCTATATGAATAATGACTTGATTGGACTGATCGCCTCCCTTATTCCTACTCCCAGGCTGCACTTTCTTATCACAGGCTACACACCTCTTACCACAGACCAAGCTGTAAGTACTTTCCCCCTTTCTGTGCTTAATTGAAATTCTGGGACATCTTATGCTTTCATGATGGCTTCTCAGCCTTCTACACCCTCCTTGATATATGCTCAGCTTGTCTTAAAATTGACAGTCTGGATCTTCTGGCCTCTGATTAGCAGTGATCCATAGTGCTGCTATTTTATAATATCAGTATGAATATCCTGTCACAGTGTTAAAAGTCAGGAGGCATGCAGAATCAAACAGTACCTCAGGCAGACTTCTCCAGTCACACTCCCAGGCTGCTGACTGTGACTGTCTTCTCACTTTTATCCCTTTCCACAAGCATCAAGTTAGAATGTGGAGGGACAGATCACAAAGACTGATGTTTCGAAAGAGGGTATCAGTTGCATGGAGGCGGGGGCAGATGGCTTTGGGTGTGCATGTAGTCTTTTGTTTCATGTGTCTCTTAATTTCTTCTTTATTATTAACTAAATATGGCTGTTTGCCCTAACAAGCCAGTTACTCTGTATTTCTTTCCATTGATCTTCTCTATCATTTAGAGAAAACAGAATGATCTGAGAAAGTTTGAATCCTGCTTCTTCAGAGTTACATGAGAGGGGTGTGTGTATTTCTAGTTTAGAGGCTTACCTTTCTTTCTGATTAGCATTCAAACTAAGCATGCTGCTGGGTTGTAGTTTAACAGAACAGTGCCCTGAAGAAATTTACTGAAATGGCAAAACCTTCTAAGCCGGGTGAGTGACTTTTGTAGCATGACAGCTTCACTTCCTCTACTGGATATGTGTCTGTGTTATCTTCTGTTCTCCCTAGGTGGCCAGTGTGCGCAAAACCACTGTCCTTGATGTGATGCGGCGGCTTCTACAACCAAAAAATGTCATGGTATCTATGGGACGTGATCGTCAGACAAATCATTGCTACATTGCCATCCTTAATATCATCCAGGGGGAGGTAGACCCCACCCAGGTCAGTGGCTAGAGAAAGGCAACCTGGTTTGATTGATCTATCAGGAGAATTCCATCAGAGTTTTACCTTTGCTCATGATAGCCGTACAGGCAGTAAAATCACTGTGTAACCACATTTTGTCATGCATATAGAATGCTGCAAATGCCTATACCCAGCATGGTGTCTTTGAGTGAAACTGTTTTTCTTGGTGGTGGTGGCGGCAGCTGATTTCATTTCTGTACCACCCCACAGCTTTCTGGGCAGTTTACAACAGTCAATAAAAACAGACAATAAAAATGCAATTAATATCAAAAAAGCATTAAAGGGTTTAACACACCTAAAACAGAAAAAATACTCTACAAAATGGAATGGGTAATCACCCTCAAGCCCCCAGGTGGCCAAGTAAATCTTTAAAGGCCTCAGATAAGAGGGCTGCTTCAACCGGATGCTGAAAAGATGATAAATTTGGTGCCAGCCAGGCCACAGAGGGAAGCTTGGTCCATAAATGTTCTTTAAAGAGGAAGGTACTGGACTACAGGGTGTCCAGTATGAATAGCTGTATCCACCACAAAATATCTGCCTCCTTTCAGGTCCATAAGAGTTTACAGCGGATCAGGGAGAGAAAACTTGCTAACTTCATTCCTTGGGGCCCAGCCAGCATCCAAGTGGCACTCTCCAGGAAGTCTCCATACTTGCCATCAGCACATAGAGTCAGCGGACTGATGATGGCTAATCACACCAACATCTCTTCGGTGAGTGTTCGTGGGAATGTGGATGGGGCAATTTTGGCTTCGGCAAGGGGCGGCATAGAAATGTTCTAATAATAATAATAATTGTTATCATTTTAATGACAACACAAAGATGTTTCTGCACCTCTTAATTATATCTACAATTTATTAAGTGATCACTCCTTCCCACCAGTATTTTTCAGCCAAAATGCACCCAGTTTCTATGCAGATGTTATGGTAATTACTATAGCCAGGAACTAATTGAAACTGGATTCAGCTTTCCTTCAGGCATGTAGTACTAAGCTCCCATGTTTTTTAAGAACTGAGAAGTGCAAGGTTTGGAAAGATCACAGCTTTTTCAAATGCTTTAGTGTTAGGAAGTTTTGGGGCTTATTTCTTAACAGTAAAATCCTCTAGTAAAGCCAGCTGAGCACATGTCACTACTGATTTGTATGGGGCATGAGGAGCAATAACTGGAGAATGAATAAGCTTAGGATGGCGGTGGGACTTAGACAGCTGGATGCTGTTTCCTGTCTGGACTTCTCCAAGTCTGGAGTTTCTGCTTAGCCTTTTTGCAGTCTGCAGGTCTTGCTTTTTAGTGTCAAGCAGGTAAACACCAGCTATCCTCCGTGGGTGTGCTGAATTGTCATGTATTGCAGAGATGCGGTTGGTAAAAGAGGAATGAGGATTTAAATGAGGAATTAATACAACAATTTCAAAACCATGAAAACAGGCTACAGAACAGGAGCGAGTTAAAATATATGTGAACTTGGTTAGCATGTCTAAAGTGTGCCCCCAGAGGAAGAATTTCTGGATAGGCAACCATGAGCATATCTAAGGTACACATGAGGAGCAAGAGATGCAGTTTGGTTTTCTAATCAGGTCAGGAATTCCAGTTTAAATCTAAAGTTGCTCTTATGGTTTCAATAGCCATAGTATGGCAAAACTTTCATTCATTTTGTCCTGATACAGGATTCCAGTTTTTATCATGGGTACCTGTGGATTGGACTAAGAGTGATCCAGTACTCTGTGATATTTTTATTGTGATAGTGAGGAGTGCCTGCCACATTACCTAAAGCTCATACCGTTTCATGCCACTAAAGTTCAAGTTACTTCACTCTTTTATATTCCTTCTTCCTCTTTTTGCATAGCTCTTCGAACGTACTTGCCATCAGTATGACAAACTCCGCAAACGTGAAGCCTTCCTGGAGCAGTTTCGAAAAGAAGACATCTTCAAAGAGAACTTTGATGAACTTGATGACTCCCGCAAGATTGTCCAGGAGCTGATAGATGAATATCATGCTGCCACTCGGCCTGACTACATCTCCTGGGGCACGCAAGAGCAATAAATTGGCTTGCATGATATTTATCTGCAGTTAAGCCCCTATTCTTCATGAAGCATCTTCCTTCCACCTATATCTGAGCACAGAGTGTGGCACTGGAAGGCCCCTAACTAGGAAAATGGACTCTGGCTGCTGTTTTGGGCCCGATAATTTGCTGAACTGCAGCTCCCCTTATTGTGCCCAACCACTTTCTGTCTCTCTGAGCAACCTGGCTATTTATGGAATCATCCCTTCAATGAAAAATCAGGTGCAGTTAGTAGCAAGCGGTACTAGGATAACGTACTTTCCTGCTTGTTTCCTTTTGTTATTTGTGAGAATGTTTTTGCTCTATTGTCTGTTGCACTTGTATTTATTTGAACACATTCCTGATGGAATGACTACTAAAGTGGATAATGAAAAGGGATGCCTGTAGCAATTTTAAAATTACCCAAACCTGCATTTCTGCATGATATACTAGCCAGCATTTTGTATTCTGTTTCTGTGGGACACTTAACTGCTGCTGTGACTACTGTCAGGTAATGTATAAGGAGATAATAGAACTGCAAGGAGGAATGAGGAAAGCAGGCAAGTCAGAAGTGGCTGTGGAAGCCTGAACTAATATATGGCACTCTTAATACCATTTTTTTTAGCAAGAAGGTTCTTGCCAATAAAGGGGTGGATGGCCTGTGATGGGTAGAAGCTGGTTGAGAATAAAACAAAGAAGCTCTGTTTTTAAAGCTGCTGGGCCAAATATTTCTTTTCCATCAGTCATGGAATTACCTTTCTACTTTTTCAGTGGTCATTTCAAGCATTCTTCAAACAGTTCTTTGAAGCAACCTCCGAACAATTTCCTACCAGGTATCTTCCTTTTAAGTTTGTACTCCCAGGGGAAGCTCCACACTTTTACTGCAGGAAATACAGGAATCTACAAAAGTGATTGTTCTGAAAACCAAGAATTCTTATCAGGTGATCATAATTGAAATGCAGTATTGAGCCAGGATAGGCTTAACTTTTATCCTTCTGTTTAAGTGCCATAATTATCCCAACTAGCAGCCAGATCTGTGTCTGCTGCTATATTGCTAATCCAGCTTGCCCCTGCACTCTCCCAGCAAGCTTAAGCGTGGCACTTTAAAACTCTTCCTTCTGTTCTCCTGTTGTGTATTACTCTCTACTTTCTTCTTGCAGAGTGTGGGTCCAGTTTCTTCCCTGCCTTCTGTTCTTCCTCAGCAATAAGTTTGTAGATGTGCTCTCTTTCCCTGCTAGACACTTCCCACTCTGGAAAGAAAAAGTTTTGCATCTATTTTCTTGTCCACCCAAAGCTGATTAAAGAACAAGGTCTCATTTTGCTTATGTAGAGACAGCTGTAGCAAAGGAAAGTTGACTGAAAAATCTCCTGGGGACTGATTAGTGGAGAGAAAGGTCGTGTTCACTAGCCTCTTTAAGCCTGGTGTTGAATAGAGATTGCTGCTGGACTACTCAGGTACAAATGAAGTCCTATTTTGGGATATGTGCACAGAGTTAAGAACATGCTGTGGCAAGGTTTGGGTGGGTACTTCTGAAAAGTTGCAGGATGGAAGCTGAGAAAACCAAGATTTGGGGGAAAGAAATTTATTTTCTAGAAATGCACGATGCACTGAGTAGAGAGCCAGGGTTTGTATTTAAAAAGAGATTAGGACGTGTGGGTGGGAATAATATATCTATACCTCGTAAAAGCCCTTATGTCTTTGTGGGAAAGTCTCTGGGTATACTTGCTCTGATAAGGAGAAACACACTCTGCCTGTGTTTAGAAGCATCTCTAATATGTTTCAGTTATGAAACTTAATCCAAGTGTATAGATCCCTGTGGAAAACTTTCGTCTTCCCCCTCTGTATTTGTCCAGAATTGAAAGCTGCAGGCTTTAAGGAAAATATTTCCCTGTTAAGCATTTGCATCTGGTTTCTGTGGAAGAGGAGTTTAAAACCATATATTCAAAGATCCAAAAAATATAATCCCGTATTTTAAATAAATGTGAATCTTCCAGTTCGGCCTTAAGCTTCCATGGATAGTGTAGAGAAAGGATAAAATGGTGCACTGCTGCCTTGAAGTGTTGTTTCATCTTGGTTTTGGCAGTGAACTTTTGTCAGGGGTGGGGAAGATTTTCCTGACTACTCTCTACTCCACTGTAGCTCTACTGACAGTCTAGAGAAAAGACAAGCACCCTCTAATACATTTCACAGACATGGTACAAGTCCCCCTTTAACCATGTACTGTCTTCTCCTGTTTAACACTAACACCCTCCCCCCCCGCCCAATTATGAATAGAGAACTTAAGAGAAAGAGGTGGCAGTTGGGTAGATTCCACTGGCCTTTGAAATCCTGTGTGATGGGATGTGTAAACCTACTGCAACAGACGAGAAGATTTATGAAGGTGTAGGCAGTGCAGTATTGCTGAGCCTGCCTGCCTTCCTTCTTTTCTTCCACTGCTTCAAGAGAGGGAAACATTTAGTCTACAGTAGTATTAATTTTCCAGCAAAACCTGTTCACCACAGAAACAAGACAATGTTGCATATTCTGTGTTGCACCCACCTCCAGACAGCAAACGTATCTTTCCCAAAGTGAGGAAAACATGTTTTCATATTCCATCAGGACAACCAAGATATTTGAATAATCATAAATACATTTCACATATTTATATTTATAGTTATATTTCTTTGCAACTCTTTACGTTTATATCCACAATGAAATGCTTTGCCTACCACCATGCACACTATTCACTTTCAGCCTCATATGTGAGCTCTTTTTCCTAACTCATATACTTGACATTTTAAAGTTATGCTGACATTTATAGAAACACAGATGAGTGAACTCAGCTGATGAACCACTGTATCAAACACAGCCAAAGGCCAGCCACATGCCCACTCAGTCGGGGTGGGCTGCCATAGCTTCTAGTTTTATGAGCTCCTGTAATGGCTTCTGTTTGCTGTTGGTGACCTCCATCACAGAAATGACATCCTGCTAGAAATTTCTGTGCAGGTGTTTTTTCTGCTCCGTTTGTTGCTTCGCCACTGAGGAGCCATTGCACAGCTTAGCAGATAATATTCCTGTGAGAAGCCCCCTGGTGGCCAAGAAAATCCTGGGGTTAAAGGGTAGTGAAAAGAATCCCAATCTCCCTGGGGATTCTGGCAGGAATTTAGTATGCCTATAAGGAAGAGCTGGCCAAAATGATGAAAGGGCAGGTGGACAGTCTGCACTGCAGCCAAAGGCAGGGCAAGAAGTGTGTTACTTTTTAAACAACACACTTTCTGAGCATAACCCTTGCTTAAACACCACTGCCAACTGTTGCAGGGGACATGGTCCATAGTCAGACACCTGTAGTGCCTGAACCAGAGACTTGTGAGGAGATTCTAGTGTGGCTTGTCTCCAGTTAGGACAGATTGACTGGCAGGGAAACACAGTCCTTCAAGGCAAGGGCTAACACATCATCCCACCTTGATCAAATGTTAGGCAGACGAAAGGATCTGTACCTTGAACAGTCCTACCCTTTCTCAGATTCTCTGTGGTGGAATGCAACATCCCTCTCCCCCCTCCCCCTTCTATGTTTATTTTTCATAGTTCTGTTTCTGCTAGGCCAGATACACATTCTTCCTCTGGTGACCAACATTTCTCAAAGTACGACTTCCATATCTGCAATATTATCTTTGTACACACAGGTGTCTGGATCTGCCTTAAAAGAGATTCTTAACATCCTAGCAAATCTTGGCGTTGTCCTCTGTTTATTTCTCAGACCTAGTGAGACATCTGCCACCAGTACATGCTCTGGGCAGGCGGACTTGAACAGCCAAGCTGCCTTCACAGAGGGCAAATAAGCTGGGCGATAGGGCAGGCCCATTCAAGACAACAGCTTCTGGGCCGGGGATGAGGAGATAAAGGAGATGACAGGAGGGCACCCATCGCTGCAAAGGGGTCACTGACAGGGTCAAGTAGGCTGAGAAAAAATTTGGGGTGGGGATATATATTTAATTTCTGAATGATTGTCTCTCCTGGTAAAGGCTGAAATAGCATCTTCTGTCACTTGCTTCCTTTTCTGGGAGTGATGGAAGAAATAACGCCAAATTCTGTGAAGTCAGATGTAACTCTCCTTTGTTAATCTGGAAGCCCCTGGAGATTGGGATTTTTTTTTTCACAAGCTGCAGTTCTGTTTCTGTCCACTAGTTAACCCCCTGGCCTTTGCTCCCCTGCTGTGGTTTGGTAGGTGATGGCCACCTAGCAGGTGGCAGTGCCACAGCAAAGTATGGTGCGCACCATATCCTGGCATCCTCTCAGTCCAGTCTCATCCAGAGAGGGTGCACATTCCCATCTCTTGGTCTTATGCAGGGCCTTTGTGATGAAGTGTCCATATAGGGTCATGTTTGAAGTGAGGCACTGATTTTCTGTCCTGCTGGGTTCAGGGAAGGGCTGCTATTAAAGAGCTGAAGATGTGTAGTCAAACATCTTAATACTCTGCCCACAAAGAGACACCTAAAAAAATTACTGATGTGTCAGATCACAAGCAAAGCATGATCTGTGGTTAAATCCAGCCTCTGGTAATTGGAAGTATTCTGTCCCTGAGCACAGAGATTGGAAATGGGAAATACACTGGTCCTAACCCTTTATACATAAGACTTGCAAAAGTAGAAGGATTTTGTTGATCAAACTCTCTCCCCTTTGGACTTGGACATGCAGCAGCAGAACTTCCTCAAGAGCCTCAGGTGGCTAACCTTCCTCAAGAGACCTGTTCCCAAAACAAGAGCATGCTGTTCAACAGAGCAGGTCTCTTCCACGCCAGGACGGATGGATGAATGAATGGATAATGACAGCATACCTGCATTCTGACTGAGCCATGTCTGTTACCTTCCTTTCTGCTGTGCACCTGTCAAAGGTACTGCCATGAAAGGTCATCAGGCTCACCATGTGCCTGGCCTTTCAGAAGTCTCTCCATGCCTTGTGCTCTGTAGTGAAAGACTGTGTTGATGAGCTTGAGACTCACAATTCAGATAGTTAGACTGGATGTTTAGTTGTTTTCAGAGCCACATCCCAACACGCATTTTCCTCTTCATTTTGTTCAAATGTTTTCCACAAACATTTTTGTTCTTGTTTTCTATTATACTTTACTCAGAGTGCAGTCTGGCTTAACCTAACAGCCAAAGTCTCCTGAAAGACATGCTTGATAGGCTACATTTTCCTGAGGTGACAAAATCTATTTTCAATAAGAAAAGTTGTCACACTGCCCCACAAGAGTTAACATGGAATTAAGAGTGCATTTTTGACAGTTGGAAATTGAATGTTGGTGGGCTATTATGTCATGTGAACGTGCAATAAGTTTGTCAGTGTGGTTTATACACAACTCTGACAACCCACAGCTAGTTGCAAGGTTTTTCTGAGCCACCATGTGTTGTATCCTCTGAACTGGGTTTACAAAACGCACTGTAGGTCAACAAACTGCTACAGAGCTGTTTGCCAGGAACAACAAAAATCCCTTGCTGGTCTTCAGTTATTCCGGTGGATACCTGATGAATGCCAATGCCAGCTGTCCCTGGAGGGCCCATTTAGCACTTCCCCCCATCCCTGCCCCCACTGCAAAGCCATTTGGGCTCACTGTGTCATTTCCTCCCCCGGGGACTGCGAAAGATGGTTATGGGAGGACCCTACTTGTGACATGCCTGTTGGGTACCTTGAGGTAGAGTGACCTTCAAGCTACACTGCACAGTTTCCTAGGCAGTGTGGTTTATATTGTGTGAGCCCATCCAATAAATGGCTTTCCTTGTTGTGTAGATGCAGCCTACCTTCCTGTTCTGGGGTTTAAACAAGGAGCACAATGGCCTGAAAGTGAAAGCAGCCTAGTGAATTACTTGGAGCTACCCTTTTCAGGTGAAGAAGGAAACAAAGATGTCCAGTGTTAGTTGTTGCAATTGGCAAGTAGCACAAAGCCTCTAGATTAGTCAGGCCTCATATCAGTACCAGGATCTTGGCCCTTCATCACAAGCATGAGAAACAGAAACTTTCCCACTGAATTTCTGGCTACTTTGTGAACACCTGCTATGAATCTTGGGAGCCTGAGCTAGAGAACATGGTGTCCAGGTGCAACCACCCTTCACTTGCAGCCACCCTTGGCCAGACTTGATTTACCATTACCTTTGCTTAATAGATATGAATACAAGGACCAAGTCACCTCACTGGGTTCAGAAGGCGAACATTTTAAAAGACACGGCTTTTGGCACTATAGTAAATAGAAGCTTTATTGTCAAAGGATTTCGAGAATATGTGGAAAAATGTCAACTCTTCCAGAGTCCCGGAGAATCTCAACAGCAGTACGAACGCATTCCTAAGTACATAAGCCAGTCTTCTGACACTCCAAGACTTCTGACACTTCCCAAGTGGGCAATGCTCACGGTGCTCCTGATATTCCTTCCAGGTGGGTGGTGAGAGAAGCCTGCTGGTTGCGAGTGCTGGTTGTTTTGCTGCAGCACAGGCAGTGCCCCAGGCAGCCAAAATCCCTGCTCAGCTGCAACAGGTCCTTGCGGAAACGCACACCCAGGAAGGTGTGAAGCACGGGGTTTAGGCAGCAGCGAGCGAAGGCCAAGCTACTGGTGATGAGGAGGGCAAGGTCTCGTTGGAGAATTACTTTGCAACTTGCTGCTTGTTGGCTCATCAAATCAGCCGTGTCCAGTAAAGTGAGTAGTGCGTAGGGCAGTTGCAGAGCCAAGAACAGCAAGACCAGGGCCAAGATCAGCTGCAAGGCCTTGTGTGTTTGGGCACAAGGAGATGCTAGAAGGGTGCGGGTGATTGCTGCATAGCAGGCAACCATGACAGCAAATGGTAGAGCGAAGCCAAAGCCTATTTGCATTACGTTAATAACAACTGTGACAACTGCCACCCTGCATAGTTGAAAGCCTTCATGGTCCTCAACATGAGCATACATGAACTGGGGCAGTGCGAGAGCAGCAGAAAAGAGCCACATCAGCCCTGAGAGCAGCCCACCCCAGCAGTTGGCAGCAGGACGTAGGCGGTGGGCGATGGGGGCCTGCACAATGGCTACGTAGCGGTCTATGGTCAGGCCCATGAGGAACAGGAAGCTGCTGTAGAAGTTAAGGGCATGGAAGCCTTGCAGGGCCTGGCATGCGGCATTGCCCAAAGGCCAGCTGCCCACCATCCCAGCCACACCCACTGGCAGCGTGAGGAGCAGCAGCATGTCGGAGGCAGCAAGGTGCAAGAGGAGGGCATCACCAAGGGACTGAACAGTGTGGTAACGGACGCGAACCAGCAACAGCACTCCATTGCCAAGAACACCCAGCACACAGAACAAGATGGCCATGACTGGGAGGTAGACCTTTGCCACAGCACGGATGGTCTCCTTTTCACACAACTCGGGTAGGACTGGTGATGATGCGTCATACTCCCATGGGTACCATTCCATGCTGACTGGTAGCTCACTTGCCCAAGTAGTTGAATCCTGTGAAGAGAGGGATGAGTGGAACTGCGTCTATTCCTATGTTCATCTGGGATGGGTATTGTGCAAAAGGTGAGCAATGACCATGGCTCTCATATATGCAAGGCCCAAGCGACGGTGTGCCTTCTGAGTATTTTGATGATGAAGATGAAGACTTTGGTACCACCTTGTGGGAGCTCCTCACCTGGGCAGTATTTCTTAGAACAAACACCCCATCTCCACCAGATTCCACTCAATGGGAGTTTCATTGTCTACAGAAAATAAGGCTTAATTTGAACTAGAGTTCATCAGGAGGCACAACCGGGACTATGGTTTCAAGGCTAGAGCTCAGCCCTGGAATAGATGTTGAGGAGGGATTACCTCTGATCATCTGCTGATTATTATGCCTTCGTTACTTAATACCTACAGCATGTGCATCCACTGTGGATTATTGGCAGGACTTGCAGATAAGGTAAAGCATGAACCCCAGCATCCTTCCGCATCACATTCAAATTACGTGACAGAAGATCTAAGTCAGGAGTGGACAAATGTTTCCTTTGTTTTTTATTAATACCCTGAGTTCCACAGACAGATGTAAAGAACTCTGAGCCCATGAGTTGTGCAGAGTAATACAACTGCAGAGCGCTCACTGTCCTTCCCCACAAAATCCCCACTTTTCCACCCAAGGTTTCATTTCAGCAGCATAATTTAGTGACTGAACATGAGGTTGTGTCTTGCTGCTATTACTATCTAACCAAGTGCCAGACAGTTTTGCAAACAAGGCAGAAATGTCTCAGGAGTTCCGGATCTTCTGACTTCTACATACATACTATGTCTGCCGTGACAGATACAAACAAAAAGGAGTATGTTCTTATATGGTGGTTATTTAAAAAGATTTATTTACAGAAAAGTTACTAGAGTCCAGTAGACATGACAGGCCCACCACAATAAATCTCACTGTTTGCTGCCAACAACCTTTTTCAAAGTAAGTTTGATGTATCTGTGATGGCTGAGGGTTCCCAAACAATACCATGGGGATTATCTCACCATGAGCAGCTGAGAGCCTGGGGAGTCGAAGGATTGCCTTTGGAGTAACCTGCCTGCCTTGATAGCACATGCATGCCCACTTACCTGAACTTGTGCGTACTGTTCATCCATCATCAAATTTCAGTCCAGAATAACTTTAGGTCTTGCTGGCTTTTTACAGGCTGCCTGTTCTGCTGCCTGATGCTGTGGTTGATTCTGAAAGGACTCACCCCCCATTTGATACTGAGAGAAGCATGCTAAGAATAATTAACCTTAACCTTAGCTGGATTGGACAGTTTTCAACATAATTTGTAAATGTGGTATGGCTCTGATGTATGAGACATGATTGAGATAATTTGCCAAAGCATCAAAAATCTCACAGCAAGTTTTATTTTTTTCCCCAATCCGTTCAATGCATGCTTATAAGTAAAGAGAAGTTTCTAACTTGTGTTTGTGGTTGTAGAATAATGGAATTATATTTTTCCACATCAGTTAATGTCAATGTAATCTTGTACAGAAATCATTATATCAAATCCATTTCTCTGGAAACATGTAATGGAGGCTATAATGTAACTACTTTATTCTAATAGCTATTGGTTATAGATTCACTGATTAAGGTTTCAGAGGATTCAGGCCAAGTATATTACATAGATGCTTACCCAAAATCTGGAAAACATTCTTTATTAGAATATAAAAGATGCTAGGGATAAATCAGGGGGAGATCCACAAAACATGAGCTGCTTTATCCACATCCTGCATGGCAAGACTTTTTGGGGAAGTCAATTTTCATCCTCTTGTCCCACATCATACATACACTCTATACTACTATTCGTGGATATTACCAGCTTGATGACATTTGGTGTTTTCTGTTAGAATACTGTGCTTTCCCCTGTCATACATTCCCTCAATTGATTTTGGTCACTGGGTTTCCCCCCACCCCCCCCACCCCCAAATGGCCCTACATAAGCACAGCTGCACAGGCATGAATGCAAACTGTGGGCAGGGATTAGTTTCTTTTGGTTTGTGTTTGCCAAATTAATGGAGGTCACATGCATATCCTTCAACCTCTTAAAGCATTTCTTCCGTAGCTGCCCCTGTTAGTTTGTTCATCCCTGCTGTTCAGGCAATCAACACTTTAAGCAAGAGGTTACTGAAAGAAAGCAGTTCTACATACGTGTCAAATACATTTTTGACAGAGGCAAGTGGATTAGCTGCATCATCAGAAAAAACAACAGCCACAGAGTAAGGGTTGGCATCTGAGAATCCCAAAGATTTTCCAACAGCCCTGGGTCTGGCCTCCAAGTTAGGACTAGTGGGAGAATTTCATGCTACAGGTGTGAGATGAGGAAAGCTAGAGCAAATATTTCTGCATGACCAAGAATACCCACCTTGAAATAGTTGCAGAACTACTCCCTGCTCTCCAGAAAATACAGACTGTAATGTGCCTACTCAAGAGTGTAGAGAAGAATGTTGCCATAGCCATTTGGAAGTTTGCAAGCTCGGGGTGCTACAAAACTACAGCAGAACAGTTCAGTGTTGGGAAATCTGCTGCTGTGGAAATCTTTATCAGACCACACCTTGCAATGGGACATCTTCAACGTAAGTCCAGCTTGGCAATGTCAGAGAAGTAAGTATTCAGCCTTATTGACTGATTATCATTCCTACACTTGTGCACAGCCATGCAAGGAAGGCTGCAGTTTGTGTGTTTGGTGATGCTGTAATGGGTGATCTTTGTACTGTGAATTTGCTTTTGGTGATTCTTGGCATTTACTTCAATATCCATTGTTGTTTTGGGTACTGGATGGATTTGTGAAGCTGATTGCATCAGTGCTTGAGGTGGCATCCATGTTGCTTTCATCACTTTCATATAAAGTCACTCAGGGAAATGACATCATTAACAGGAAGAGCTTGTACTCCACTGTTCTTCAAGAGACCACTGACGGCACAGTAAAAATCATGGTATCTGTGTCTTCAGGAACTCAGTGCTGTGACTCTGCTAAGAATCCCACTGTGCCATTGGTGGGGCTTGAAAAGCCCCACTAACTGTGGCCAAAGAAGCTTATCCAATATGCAGCTAACTGATGGAGGCTCCCGGAAGAACTGTTGATCTGCAGCAAGCCCATTTCCAGTACTGCCTATGCAAAGCATGTACAGCAAGTCTTCAGATGATTAAAGAGCAGATGGCAGGGCCTGGCCGGCTGACCAGAGGCGGCTGAGGAGGATGTTGTGCTGGTAATGAGTGCATGCATTATTCTCCTCAACGTATGTGAACGAACACTGACAAGAGACATGTGTAGATCAGAATTACACTGTACTTGTGACCTGGAGTATACCATACCATAATGAGGATGCAGAGCACTCAGAGAGAAGTGCTCTTCATAACGGACTTAAAGAATGTTTACAGGCAACCTGGGGGAGGGACTATTTTCACAGGACTGGCCTGCATTTGGTTATTGTTGCTGTTTTGTGTGTTCTGCAAACAGTGGCCAGACTCGCGCGCCACAGCAGCACACACTGATGCTCAGAAATGGATTGCTTGTGCCTGTGACTTCTCATGCCTGCAGAACTTGAACAATCTATTCTAGCACAGGGTAGGATTTAAAATAGTTGTTTCTCCCAGTAGACCCACCTGACAAAGCCTCATCAGCCATCACTGTGCCTCCGATAGTACTGCAGTGGGTGTGGAAGCTATAGTTTCCACAGGAAGGAACAACCACAATCTGTGGCGACTGTTACAGATGGGCTGCTAGCAAGATTTCTTGCCCTGCGGGCTTCTCTGACAGTCACCAGTTTGTGCGCTTTGGAAGCTAAACAACTTTTACCTATCTGCATGTCTTGTGAAAAACAAGTCCTTAATTTCTTTCCTCTCTTCACAGGGGAATCCCTTGGAAAGAGGGTGGCACAGCTGGGGAGGAGAGTGTACAAACCCCATAAATGCAAAACCTTCCAAAAAGAAGGGGAGCAGGAGGATGGATTATACTCCTGTGCAGTATATAAAACTTTGTATTTATTATGCATTTGTTTATTAGATTTGTATAAAAGCTGCCCCTTAGCATTATGCTCTCTGCCAGGCCCTTACAATAAAAGTATCAATAATAACATTAATAACATAATGCAGTTAAAAAGTTATAATAATAAGCAAGATAAAACACAATATATACAATCAAACAAATTAATAAAATTAATAAATGAAATTAAAATTAAAATCAGTGCTGTCAAATAAATAGTTTAATTAGAGCCATAGGTGCATTGAAAGACAAGTTTTTGCCAGGTGCCGAAAACTCAGTAAAGTAGACCCCTAATGAATTTCCAGTGGCAAGGTTTTCAATAAGTTCTTTTTTGGGGCCAGTGTGTAAAAGGCCCCAAACCATTCAGAAAAGCTTCACTGGTTGGCATTCTGAGGACATGATACAGGCTGTATAAAAACGCTTCTTGACTGCCTTAACTGATATGGTTCGGTTGGATTTGCCCCAAGTTTTCCACCACCTGTGCTCTAGTCATCTCCCAGCTGGCCTCATTACCCTCGGCTCCACCATATCCCAGGGGCCTGGGAGGGCTCTGCAAAGAGGGACAGGATGCTTGGGAGCAATTGTGTCAACCATCCGAGTCATTTCCATATTCCACAGGGCAACCTGGGCATTGACTGTATGTTGTCTTGTGTATTTTTATACTATATAAATACTACTATAAATTTTAATTGTGCACATTTCCTATTTCTGTAAACATTTATGCTAGAACTGCCGCACTGTTTGGAACAGTACACCATGTAAAAAAAGATGGATGCAAACCTAATTGAGAATACTATCATTCCAGACTTATCTGCCCCTTTAGGAGGAGTGTACAGACTGGGGAAGATAACATATTTCAAATTTTACTTGGAAAATGAGGATGTATTTGCAGTGGCAGGATCACACGAAAGCTGCACAGCTGTGAGAACCAGTGCCTTGGGTGCCTGTGTGTCCTTATCGGTGTCACTCACTTTTGTTGCCCAACCCTTTCTGCTCTGAGCAACGGGACTGCCTCCTGGGGCTCACCAACAGTAGTGGCACACTGAGTATGTTTAGTGTAGGGGAGTGCAAAGCCTCCACCTGGGGGTGGGAATCCATTGGAATTCCTGGGCTTGGCTTCCCAAACTCTGGTCTGCTTTGCAGCAGCCTTGAGTCTGGGTTCTTGGGGAGTACACCCAGTTTCGGAGGGGTGCTCTCCAGGAAAGAAGCCTCACATGCTGCACAAGCAGTGCCCTTCTTCGGTGCAACTGCCACCCCTAGCAGCAGCAGCATGTGGGGAAGAGGTTTGATGGGGGAATGGTGCCTGGCATGCCTGCTTGCAGCACGCCTCTTCCACGCCCACCAATGGCAGCAGTGGGTAGGCAAGACGAAGGTTGGTTGCCGGGAATGGCGCCTGGTGCATCACCTGTAGCATCCCTGTTCTGCTTCCCCACCACTGCTGCCAGCAACAGGCGGGAAAGAAAGTTGGTCCCTAGGACTGGCACCCACCATCCCCTCTCACAGTGCCCTTCCTCTGCATCCGGCAGCTGCTCGCAACTAGGAAATTTGCTTTTCGCACAACTGGGGTTCTGCGAGCCTTCGCAGACTTCCTTTTGGCTTGGTCTACTTTGCAGGACTGGGCCAAGCACAAGAGGAAGTCCATGGATGCTAAAGAGATGAGTTCCGAAAGGGTTTGTCCCAACCCTACTTTGGGGAACTCTCTCATTCTAAAGTTGCTCTGCTGTTCACTTTTTAAACAGAAAGTGATCAGTCTGGGATTTTGTTCACTAGCTGCTGGAGGAGAGCAGCTTGGTTACCCTCCTGTTCTGCGATGGCAGCATATCTAGATAAAACCTCTTCCTCCTGCTGCATAACTGGTAGCAGTCTTCTGTTCTCTTGATGCCCTGAGCCATGCCATTTCCTGTTCTTCGTATTTCAGAGTTTCTTGCTACTGGCAACAGTGTCACCTTGTGGTTTGGAATGCCTGAGTCTTTAAAAGGAAGGACAAGATTAGAATTCAACAGAGAACATGGTTTCCATCTGCACTTATGACATGAATCTCAGGTTTGCCATACCAGGTATGTGGCAACTCAGACACCGTTAGGCAAACTTATATTCCTCAGAACAGGAAGAAATGGATAGATG